TGGCTGTGCTGGGGACTGCTTTCTTTGGTGGGTGTCCTGAGGAAGGAGGGGGCCTTCTGGATGGGACCCCTTGAACATCTGGGCTTCAGTGCCCACAAGCTCCATGGGGGCTGCTCTGAGGCTGGGACAGACCTCCCAGGTCTCCACTTCTTCTGCAGGGGCTACTGAATTCACAGCTGAACCTGTTCCAGGTGCTGACATCTGCTCAGCATGAAGCCAGTGTCACACCATGGATGCAGGGGACAAGACCACTTTTTCTTACTCCCTGAGAACTGTCATTTCCCCCCAGTTCCCCTTCTGGGGCTCCTACCAGCCAAGAAAACTGCAGGACAGATGGCAACAAATCAAGAAGGAGGAAGAAAAAAGGGATCTGGTGCTCACTTGTTCTCAGTTTGAGGGAGTTTCTTCTGGTTTTACTGCTCACTAGGGCCAGTTTCTACCCTGTGTCCTCAGAGCAGGGCAAAATTACGGCCACTGTTATCCAATGATAGATGATGTTCAAGAAGATGTTCCTTGGCCTGGGTCAACAGTCTCAGTTAGAAATGTACCCCCATGCTTGGAGCCAGCCCCTGCACAAATATCCCTTCTCAGGGTGAGGTGAGATGGGCTCTGTGAATATCGGCAGTTGTGCCAGCACTAAGGGTTTCGCAGAACCTCGGAGCCAGAACAAAGGGATTGTTTCATCTAAGTTCCTAGTTACTCCTTCATCTTTTGCATTTCAAACAACGTGCCAACCAGCGCTTGCTCAGTAAATGCCATGGAAACACCAGGGCATGCAGTGACATAATTTGTCAGTACTTTCCTTCATTAAGATGTTTGCTTAAGAATCATTTTTAAGGTTTTGGGAAAAGAAAGAAAAAAATGAGGGAGGGTTCACTCTGAGTGATTTCCATGGCTGGTGATAGACTTTGTTACCAGACTTGACCATACAAGTCTCCCCAAAAAGCACTTCAAATTTGTGAAGTCCATTCCTCGAATTTTGTATGGGCCTCACCCCATGCTACCCCTTCACAGGGCGACTGGAAAAGAGCCAAAAATATCATAGTGAAGAAACCAAGGTCTTCTAGTTCTACAATAACTGAAAACTTGTGCTTTTTCGTCCAAGCACTATCTAAACTATTGCATCAAATGTTTATACTCTCTTCTCTTTTTACCAGTGTCTGATTCTTATGTGTGACCTAAAAACATCAGTGACAATATCCTTGCAACTTTAGTTTGATAAAAAGTCCAGATTAAATACCACAAAGGTTCCACAAGGATTTAAAAGTACCTTTCTTTTCAGAAATTAGGAACACCCATGACACAATTGCTCAAAAATGCAGAACTTGGGAATATTGCATTGAGAGTTTGGCAGGTTTAAATTTTTTTTTTTTTTTTTTTTTTTTTCCTGTGCTTCCAAACTGAAGAACACTGAACATCTTCAGCTGGTCATAACCACAAGTACCCAGGATGGGGCATGGCCACAGCTGCATCACTGCTTAGGCTGGCTGGCTCCTTCTCCTGCTTTGTTCTGGCCTTTTCGGGGCAGGAAGTTAATGCTGACACCATGTGAGCCAGCAGAAAGGCGTTCGGAGGACAACAGGAGACAGAGCCCATGCCCCAGGAAACATAAAACCATCCAGAGTGAATTAATTTCCTTTTTCTCCTCCTCCTGTTAATGAAAGGATCATCAGTCTCAGGAATGTCTTGCTTTGTTCCATTTCTAGCAAATGTTTTCTCTGTTATTCATAGGCTTTTTTAAAAATATATATTTATGCTGGTTGCAAATCATCACTTTTAACTTCCTTTTTTTTTGGGGGGGGGCGTGTTTTTGCTTTTGATTATCAGAAAAAAATATTAACCAGGAATCCCTGAAGAGGACATCCGACCTCCTTAAAATACACACAGCCCCACCCCGAGCTTGTTTGTTTTTCCCTCGAGCTCAGGCTTTTGCTGCTCCGCGGGTCCTGGGTACTGTGCGCTTGACGTGTGTTTATGTTCAGCGAGGGGAGGCCGGGGCCCACGTGCAGCCGCAGCGGCCCCGTCGGCTGCACGTGCAGGTAGCCTTGGTGGAGCCTGGCAAGAAGCCATAAAAAGTACAAAAAAAAAAGATGAATCTACTCAGAGGACAGATTCCAGTTAGGTGGCAAGATATGTGAATGATACCTTTTCATTTCTTTTTTCTTTTTTTTTTTTTCATTTTTTCCCCTGAATTCATCTGAACTATCTTCAGAACGACGTCTTTGAGGCCAATACTGAGTCTTCTTAATAGAGGCAGTGATGAAACCTCATTTCCATACCTGGCTCTCATTCTGTTTATGAGGTTATATGCTTACCTGCAGCTGGATGTGTTTTGCGCAAAAAGAAAAAAAAAATAGATGAAGCCAATCAATCAAGCTAATGGTTTACATATTTCAGAAGAGAAGAGACCGTGTGGTTGACTAATGTACCTTTTTAGTTCAGAATAGATATATATGCACAACATTTATATATGTATAACCACTACCTTTGTAGCTACTATCAAAGCAAAGGATTGCAAATGCTCGCACACTCATTCTCCACAACACATTGCTTGAATTTGTGTTTCGGAGAGTGTTTTAGTTTACTCTCAGTGGACGTTTCATCTCCCTCTCTCTCAACCAAAGACAAAGGACAGAAAATACCCACTGGCTTTCATACCATTTCACAGGTATTAATAAAGCAGCACACCCTCGCAGGCAGGCCTGGTATCAGTCTGTTGATGGGTCACAGTGTGAATAATGGACACTCTCAGGTGTCATTCCTGTCATTCTTTCATGCATCCACATCCCTACCTGCAAACTGAGGAAAGAAGTTGTAATTTAGAGCTGGGCAAACGGGATTAGCAACAGAAGGGAGAAATGTGAGACACAGCTAGCAAGTCAGCGGAGCAGAGACGCCCTTCCACTCCTGCATCAACATAATTCAGAGTTGCTCTTCTAATATTAAGACATCTGTCAAGAAGTGTAAATCTACTCCCTGTGTTATGCAGAATTCAGTGCTAGCTGCTATTTGGGCTATGCCCAGCAAGTAAGCCAGCTTTGTTGTGCTGGAATCATTTGGAGAATTGGAAATGGCCAGTTTGGTACCATTTTTTAATAGCTCGGTAGAAAAGTAATTGATGTGCTATCTTTCTGCATTTTTTTAATAAATCAAATGAGCATTGTTTTTTCACGTAAAATAACATTAAAATACTCCCATAGTCACAGAGCTGCACCATATGGACGTCCTGCTACTTGGCCAAAGGCATTGTTTTAAGCTTGAAGTTACATGGGGATAAATTGCTAATATATGAGGTGAGTTCAACAGAGTTAGGGCGGCACTGGTCAGGCGCTAGGGCTTACACGTCTGCTCCAAGATGAAACTGGAAAAAAGTCACTGATGATGAATGTAGATTGCCCAATGTTTTCAATAAGGCATGTACTCATTTCTGCCAGGTTTATGGCTTTTCCTTGTTCTTGTTTGCAGAAAAACAGTTGGCTTTTGTCAGCTTGGATGTAAGTTTTTTTTTTCTTGTGTGCTTTAAGAAAACAACCCATCAATATATTCAGCAAAGAGAGCTTAAATAACCTCGAACACATGGCTGCTGTTACACGCACAGGCTGTGCCCTGCTTAAGGGCAGCGAGTGGCATCACCGGCTCTGCAGGTGGGAGACAAATTTGTTTGTCAGGATTATGCTGAAAGCTGGCCCAAACAGGCCAGACTTCAGTATAATCCCAGGTCTTGATAGAGCAGAGCCCAGCACTGCAGGGCCCAGCCTGATGGTGATAACCCAAGATAAAGACCAAGGCAGCTGCCAGGAAGAGCAAATGCATTTACAGCATTTTGCAAAGTTCCCTCCTAGCGGGGACATGAGCTGGGGACACCGTGGGACAGGGGGAAGCTGCTGGGGACAAGCAAAGGGAAGCCACAAACCCAGCGGTGCAGCCTCCCTGCCGACCCTCCCAGCCCTCCCGGCATTAGCTGCCCTCAGCCTATTTCTGCCTTCTCTTGATGTGGTTGGCAGCAGGGTGTGTATTAATTATATAATTAAAATCTATTATATAGAGATATTAATTATACAGAAATATTTCCCGAACTGCAGTTCTGTTCAGATCCAGTTTTCAGATAACACTCGGGTTAAGTCCCTGCGCAGCACAGAGGCAGGTATCCAGTTTTCCTTGTCGAATCGCACGCGCTTTTGCAAAAATGGTCTTTCTAACAAATCCTGGATCTGCAGAAACTGAGATTTAGGAACATCTGTATATAGATGTTCCAGGAACAGTATAAAAATCCACAGCAGCACAGAATCTGCGCCAGTATGAGATGGAGCAGCTCTGCAAACACGAGTCTTTCTCCTGGCCCGTTTTTTGCCTGTTCACGTTGTGCTCGAGTGTGTTGGCAAAGTGGCCGGAGCCACCGCAGGGGCTGCCCAGGTGCTCAGGTGGGGTTTGTGTTTCGCGCTCCCTCACCAGCCTCGTACTTGACAGCACTCAGACAGGCAAAGGCTGCTGAGGAGCTAAAGGTGCTGCGGTGGTTTTTCTTTACTGAAGCTAAAGGCAAGAGGGAGGAATCGGCTGCATTATGAGTTTCCTTCTCTTGCTGGGGGTGGTGGTGGAGAAGCAGAAAGCAGCAGTGGCGAGGAGAGGGTGGCGATGTGAATAAGCCAGGTTTTTGCTGTCGGCAAGCAGCTCGCTGCTCACCCCACGAGGCAACGCTAAGCGCACCGACGCTCCCATGTCACGAGTCATGGGGCGAGCACTCAGGTTTTGGTGGGGGAAACAGTTTGTCAGACGCCAAAAAGCAATAAATCATTCAATAAATAAGCGAGAGAGCTGGAGGAGGACGCTGGGGCAGCCCCGAGACAGGCTGGCAACGCGCCGTTGTGTGCGGGAGAGCCGCTTGCTGCTGCCTCCGTGCTCTGCATCCCCCAGCCCCGCGGGCCAGCAACGCCCTGCTCGGCATAGAAGGAAAATTGTCCGGGAGGGAGGGAGCCAGAGAGGGAGGGAAGGAGGGAGGGCGCAAGGCAGGCGCCGCACTCCTGTTCTGGGCTATTTCAACTTCAGGGCAACTTTAGAGAACTTCAGTTATTTTTGGTAAGCTTTTCTCTATTTATTTATTTTTTTAAAAAAAGAGAGAGATCCTCCTTTCCCTTTCTTTCTCTCTCTCTTGCAGAGTGCGCAAGTTGGCAGGGGATGTTTAGGGCTGTTCTCGGTGGGGGTGTTTTGCAGCCCCTGCTCTTGGGGCTGGGTGCTGGGCTGTGGAGGCATCACGCTGTCCCGCTTGGGGAGGGAGATGCGCGGGCACCGCGCTCGCCAGTCCTCCCGGTCATCCCGCACCTGGCACAAGGATTTATTGCTTTACTGCTGTCTCGCAGGTGGGAAGAAATAGGGTCAGGGATGAACAAGTGTGTTCAGAAGTCCTTGATCTGCGTTTCCAGTGTGGGGGTTTTCAGACTTGTGCATGAAGTCCCCCAAAGTCCTCGGAGGGCTCTTGGTGCCCCGTCCTGCGCACGCCCCTCTGCTCAGTACTCTCTATTACGGATCGTGCGCGCTGTTTTTCTGACTTCCTCACTCCGTGTGCTTAACCCATCACGCGGTCTGCAACGTAGCGAAGCTCTTCTTAGTGCACAGAGAGCCGGAGCCCCAACTGCTGCAGCGAATCGCAAGGTGCAAACTGTGGTTTGTTTACAGGGAAGTTGATTTATGCTGGATGTGGGTTTTGTTTTGTGTGCTTTCTCCATACGTATCTTTGGATTTTTATAGTGGCTGTGCTTCTACAAGAGGAATTCTGCTCATGCGGATACTATATCTCAATAAATACCATTTGCAATGTATATATAGTGTCACAATATACTGGCTTGGCACCAGAGCCTCTGTGTGTTAGTGGTATTTGAGACTAATATTAACCTTGGAGCATTTGAAAACAGAGATCCATAACCTTATGAGTGGATCAGGTATGACACTGCTGTGAGCAATTCACAAAATGTTAGGAAATGCTGGATAAAATTTATCTGTCCACCTGCCTGGGTTCTTTGCCCTTCATGTACCTTAATACATTGCTGATCACATGAATCCAGGTAGTCTGAAGTGGGTTTTTTATCTGTGGCCACCAGAGGAAGGGATGCAAAGTATGTGTTCTGAATGCTTTGATAGGAAATGGAGCAAGCATTGCTCACACGAGAAAATGGCAAAGGTCTGTCCTGCTGCAACAATAGTAATCATTCTTATTTATTGTTTATGAAACAATAACTCTGAAATGTGTAGCTTAGTAGGCAACTCTCTTAAGGGATGCAATACTTTTTGGTTATAATCATCTGCAGAATGCATGAGGAAAAACTTTAAGTAGTGATTTGTCATAGATTTTATTAAAGAAAAGCCATAAGGAACTTTGCACATTAAAGGAGAAGCAGCTTACGATAGGCGCTTTGCTTCCAAAACCTATCCTCCCATCGGTTAAAAGTCCAGCATGAAAAAGTTTCATAAGTTTAGCAGCGTAAGCAAACACATCATGCCTCAGAATTTATTGGGCTGTTTTATTAGTTATGTTTAAAATGATATGTGTGACTGGGCCATCTAATTGCAGTAACTCTCTAACAATGGCATTAACAAGAACTCTTCAAGAATAAACTGTGAAAATCATAAATCCACCACGGGTCCGCCGCAGTGCTGACACACTCTGCGATTGCTGCAGTTTTGACGTGGAAGCGTGCGGATTTGTGAGCTAAAACTGCATTTTACTATCTTTGGTGTGGCCCTCTTGCAAAGTAAACTCCACTATTAGATTTTGAAGCTTGCGTAAATCTTCTTCAACTGAAGTCACTCTGACTGTACTCCGTGCTCGTAAGCCGTTCCTGGGCGATGGCTGCATTCCCACGGGCTGCAATGCAGGGGTTTTGCTCCGATGGGGCAGGGACAACTTCGTGTTGCTTCCCCTGGAGTTTGGAGTGGGCGACTCTCTTTAATAACTCCTTTTATGCTTTTTAATTGCCTCGGCCGCTGTGGCTGCGCTGGCAGCGGCGAGGTCAACGTGCCTCCATTCGCTTTTGGCTGTACTTGCCGCTCAGCCCTGGAACGCGATCCAGCAGCCCGGGTGTCGCGCGGCTCCGGGGACCGGGTGCAGTCTCCGTTACGCTCCCGCTGGTGTGGGAGGTCTGTGCGCGGGCCCCGACACCCGTCCATCCCGGGAGGCACTGCCAGGAGTGGCAAGGCGCTTTGCTGAGGCTGCTGGGCTCACGCCAGCGCGGGGAGCGGGACGGCAGCAGCGGGACGGCTGAAGCTGGGTCGTGCTGGAGCATCACCCAAGAGGCCACAACAATGCACAGTCCTCAGACTGCAACCTCTGGAGATACACAAAGCTTCGCTTTTTCTTTCTTTTTCTTCCCTTTTTTTAATCTTCTCCTTGATTTTCCTACAAGGGCGAAGAAGCCAGGCAGTCCTATGTGAGTATAAAACATTGCAGCATCTAAGTAAGAGTGGTGAAGCATTGGAACACGCTGCTAGGGAAGTGTTGGAGTTGTAATTCCTGGCAGTGTTCAAGAAACATGTATATGAGGCACTTAGGGACATGGTTTAGCAGGCATGGTGGTGACAGGTTTACAGTTGGACTTAATATCTTGAAGGTTTTTTCCAACCATAATGATTCTATGATTCTGAGATGTTTGTGAATCTAAGTGAGAGGTTTCTCAGATTCCTCACGTCCAAAGAAGTGAATAACTAATATAAATCAGTGCATCTGAATGGTGCATCATACTCAGTCTCTTTTTTTGCACTGATCTGGTTTTGCATTGCGTTATGTCCCTCATATCAGGACACAGGGGAAAATCAGAGTTTCCGTCCCTGGAAAAGCAGCCTGCTGTGCTTTGGGCTCAGTTCAGACAGATAAGGACACATAAGGCCTCAGCATTAGAGACGCGCATGCACGAGCAAGACCGAGCATTATTTTTTAAGGCAGACAACCTCTTCCCTGAACCTCAGGGCAGTAAAAAGCTGTTTTCCTGACAACACCTTCTAGCAACCATGGTTATTTCCTCCTAGCCGCAGCTTCCGCTCCGCCTGGTGCACTGTTCCCTGGAGTCCAGCCGCGCAGCGCTGAGCGGCTGCTGGGATTTGACTCCGGATGGAGCTAAGGTTGGATAAACCCTGCCAAACCAAGGCTGCACTGGGCACCACATCCCACTTGCCAGTGTTGGAGACTGCCCTCGTGGCAAGAACCTCCTCTGGATGAGCTGCTGCTGTGCCTAGCCCCTGCTCCGGGGGGATTCAATACTCTGAATCCATGTGGTAGGGAAGGTCTCTTGCTCAGGAATGTAAGGTCAGGGTTTGTTATACCACTGGGGTTCATTATTTTATATTGGAAAGCTGGATTTCTGGCTAGGAGACAATGTTTCACATGCTCAGTACTTCTCTCCAGCACTTACTTCCTAAAAGGAGGCAGTGGGTGGGTAAATATTTGATGCAACTGCTGCCTGACTGCAGAATCTGGCCCTTACGGTTTGCAGTTAGGGAATGGGAAATCATGGATTCACCATGCAGATCTGACTGCCCACAGTGGTCCGGCAGGGCTGGAACACATTAAAATACTCAAAGTTCTTCTCTCTGGGCAGCGCAGAGCCTAGGAAGCTCTAGGGGACCCATGTGCTCTGGGACCTGGGGGTGCTGGGGCAGCAGCTCCCAGGCGGCAGCCACAGCCTGGATCCAGCAGAATTCCAGGCAGCCGGAATGTGAGAGCCTGAAAGATCTGCTTGATCTACCCCATAAAGATAGCAGAGACTTCAGAGGGCTGAGGTATCTGTTTTTTTCAAAATCACAAAGCAAGAGATAAGGTTTCTGTCCTTTCCAAGCCTGCTGATAAATGCTGGGGGCTCCGAGGACGCAGGGACTGGTCTTCACTGCTGGGTAAATGCTATTTCTCTTCTGTCCCAAAGAGAATAGATGTTCTTCCAGTCCAAGCATCCCTCTTTTTCCTGCATACCCCAACACTCCCTTCCTAGAAAGGTCCTATTGTTCAGCTCCCCACAAGTCACCTCTTCATTTATTTGCAAATAATCAGCACTGGCACCCAAACCTGTGGCTCTCAGCCACTTGCAACACTCTATTTTTCCCTTGAAATAAGTATGTGCCAAAAGTTTTCATTTCTCTTCCTCACCCCATTCTCATTCTAATGCAAAGATCCAGCCTTAGCAGAACTATTTGGAGGACTGAGGTCTTCCAAAATGGAAGTCTTAGAATGGACAAGGAACTCAAAAGGCACATGCCCAGTAGCAAAAAAAAAAAAAAAAGATTCTGGTGGAAAATGGGTAAAATCTACAAGCAAAGAACTGCTTTAACTGATATTTGCATTATATTCCACAGGGGAAATATAAACTCTAAGTATGAACAGGCATTGCTATTTTTAAAAGTAGTTAGAAACCAGTGTTTGGTGAACCTCAAAGAGTTTAACAGCTTTCCCTCAGATGAGATGAGCATCCAAGAGGTTGAGGGTTTGAGTTTTTTGTCTGAAATGTGTGTAAACTTATCAGTAGACATGTGGGCTGAAGATCTATGAACTCTCATGAGAAAGCTAGTGGTTGTGATATTGCTCATATTTGCTGGTGGGGCTTTCCCAATGCCTTCTTGTGAAGAACACAAAAATGTCATTAAACATTCCCCAAATACTTTCAATGTTCAGAATATGTCAGAGTTGATGTGATTCATGTCTTAGTGAAAGGTTGCATTGATTTTTATATGAACTGCCTCTCTTCACACTTCTTAAGGTTGGCTTTTTCACATAATAGGCTTGATCATGAGAAAAATTATTTTGCAATGAGGCGCTCAGACCATTCAGTGCCAGTTTGCAGTTAGTCAGAGCCTGTTTTGGAGGCTCACTAAGTATTTTCACATGAGAATGACTACAGGGAGGATTCATACTCATAGTGATGGATGGCTACAGAGGCAAACTGTGTGCGTGTGCAGTTGTGAGTCTAACCTCTATTAATCAGCATTCCTATGAATAGATAGTCAGTGCTGGAGTGGTTACTGAATGGTGATATGTTCTCAGGTTCTGTTTGTAGTCTCTTCTTTTGGCATATGGACTGGACTAGAAAATTATTGACTGA